GCGCTTCCCAAGCGGCGCACTATCCAGTGCGCCACCGGGCCGGCCCCTGATTAATTTTATTTAAAAAATGCCTATTTACATATACTTTGACTTCAATTGTTGCTATATTATGTACAAGTTTCCATATATAAAACAAAATTCAGATTACCCTCCACAGCAATAGTAGCAGAAAAGTATTTAACATGTGAGCTTCCCTACAAAAAAGTAACGATTTTAAATAATAGAATTCAATGGCAATAATTTAAAAGTTTAACTAAATACAGTCATCACTCAGTATCAAAAGAAATGCAGATAATACAACAGGCTATGTGATTCTCAAGATACTGGCTTTTCTGGGTTTTGGAACGCATTATATTTTTTGTTCTTGTTGTTTAGTTCTGTAGAAAATGAGTTGCTGATATTAATATTTTGATATGCTGAAAAATGATTTTCCCACCTATTTCTGAACGGTCTTCCTCGACCGCCTAAATACCCAATTAGCATCAGAAACAATTCATAATGCGAATGCAATTTATCTACCTAGGAAAGTGAGTTGTTCTGACTGAAAAAAAAAAAAAAAAAAGCCAGAAAGCTATATGCTGATATATATACCATGGTCCCCCAAAAGCACTGATTACATGATTATTTCTCCATGGAGATCTGTCTATCAAAGTGTAGTTGAAGCCAGTATTAAAGTTTGAATACCTTCTCTCTGCACACAATAACTGGATTATTAGCGGAACAAAAATGTTCAAGAGTACTTCAGAGATAAAATTGGTAATCCATGTTTTAATTTATGTATGAGAAAATTTTAAAAATACTAATATCTTGCTCAATTAAACTAAGTTGTAGCCTGTCTGTATCAGTCAATAATCAACAAAAGGACAGCTTCTTTAAAAATGTTCCATGCATAAGAATGACTTAATAACTAAAATATTTATAAGAAACACTTTGCATTTTTTTCTTACAAGAATGATTCCAATGGTACATATTAGTCAGAATTTAAAAAACCAAAAACTTGTTTTTCTTATCTCCAAATGTTTCTGTCATTTAACTTTTGCCTATAGATTAATGTTCTGATGATGCACAGTAAAATAATTCCTTTAGGACTTCAAACAGCTAACTTGCTCTGAAGGAACCTCCCAGGTTCTAAGCAATTTGGGCTCATAGTGTTGGCTATTTCAAAATGGAACACTTTAAGCATTTGCTTTCTTAGAACCCACTGGCTCAGCTGGTTTGATTCTGGAGAAGAATCACTTGGTCTTTCCATTTGGTTCAGTTACTTATTATCAATATTATTTTGACAACTGCTTCCTATTTCCTTCTTCCTGTACACAGAGACTGAATTTTGATCAGCTCTGTATCTACAGAAGTGATGATCCTCACTTGTTCAGTAGAATTTCAATAACCATTTCTAAAGCATTACTTTCTTCAAGAACTTATTAAAACGAGTCACGGCAAACACTTCTAATTCTGCACAAAGTGGGCAGTTCACAGGACTCTTTCACAGGGCCCTGACACCCTGGGAGAAGGCAGAAATAATTCAGCTCCATGCCTGTGTGCCTCATTCTACAGAGTCTGCAGTGATAGGTTCCACGGGTCACAGTCCCAAGCTAAGTGTGCTCTCCAGGCAACAACTGTGCAGCTTGAGAGGAAGCTGACTGCACTGATAAACTGTGCTGCCTCTGTCTAATCCACGTTAGGTTCAGGTGGACCACTGCAGTTCACCTTCCCTAGTAAACACGCTTACCTGCCCCTAAGTGCCCATTCTTTCACCATAAGACTCCAGTAAATTAGTATCACCTAAGTTCACAAGACTCTCTAGAAACTTCCCACTTTTCCAAAAACCTAAACAATGGAAAAATGACCCTGAACAGTCAAAGGAAATATCACACTATGCATCTGATCATAGAAAAGCCTGTCAGATACTCAGAACATTTCAGGCATAGTTCTAGCAAGTTTGATTAAATGCCTTTTCCAAAAAAAACCCAAAACATATCTAACCATGGCAAGACGAGGACAAAGCACTTTAACAGCAAGTAGTGGTAACTAGCAGTGTGGCACAAAGAAAGGAGAGTGTATAAAGATGAAAAAAGCAGAATTAAGAGGGTAGAAAGACTCCCAGTCTGGCGACATTCAGTGCAGGAACGTTCCCAAGCTATTACCATACAGTAAGTGATATTCACCACAATCCCATAGCTGGGGTGGACAATCTTGGTTGCCTACCTAACAGCCGTTCTCCATCTTTCTTTCTTATGGGCAGAGCCCTCCTCCAACTCCAGAGTTCACTCTTTCAAACTTCCACAAAACTAAGGCATGGAAATATGACTTAATCCTGCCAGCGGGACCTGAAGGGAAGTCGGCTAGGGGTCTTCTGAGAAACAGTTTCCTCTCTGATTAAAGACGTGTGTAAGGAGAAGCCCCCATTTCCCTCTTGCTTTAGGTCTTGGCATGTGAGTTTTGGAGCTCGGAGCTGTGGCACCCACCTTGTGACCATGAGGGGAAAGTCAGCCTAACGACACTGAGCTGCCAGATTCATCATCCCTGGAACTTCCCAGCTCTCTCATGTGAGATGGTTACAAGTCTTTATTGTCTAAACCTCTTTTAATCAGGTCTTCTCATACTTGCAGTCAAAGGCGTCTAAGAAAATGTTATTTCTTGCAG